TACCAATGAGGGGCTGATGATCGGTTATGATGGTAAATTGAGCACTATATAGGTAAAGGTGGAAGTGCTCAACGGCCCAAACTACTGCGAGCATTTCTTTCTCAGTCTGAGAGTATCTAGTTTCGACATCAGACAGGACGCGGCTGGCATAGCAGATAACTTTGTCGTTTTGGACTAGCAGTGCACCAAGACCAACAGGGCTTGCATCAACAATCACTTCTGTGGCTTGGTGAGGATCGAAGCATGACATGACTTGGTTGTCAGTGAAAGCTTTCTTGAGATTGTCAAGGGCTGCTTGCTCGATTTCTTCCCATTTCCAGGTTGCGTCGTCTTTTGTCAAGGCACGCAAAGGAGCTGTGATATCAGCATAACCGGGTATGTAGCGTGACAGGTACTGGGCCATTCCGAGGAGAGATTTGACTTCACTTGAACTACGCGGAGGTGTGGCATTCTGGATAGCTTCAACCTTCTTGTGGTCGGGGCGTAGTCCTTCCGCGCTGAAAATGTGACCATAGAACATTACTTCCGATTTCGAAAAGTGGCACTTCTCTTTGTTTAAGCGAAGGTTGTGGGACTTTAGCCTTTCAAGGACTTGACGGAGGTTGGCATCATGAGTGGCTTGATCTTTGCCAAAAACGATTATATCATCGGATATGTTCTTACAGCCTGGTAGGCCAGTCAGCAGCTCTTCAATGGTGTTTTGGAAGATCTCAGAGGCGGCATTGATGCCGAACAGAAGTCGTTTGTACCTTCGAAGGCCGAGGTGTGTGCTGAACGTGGTGATGTGCCGGCTTTCTTCTGCAAGTTCAAGTTGATGGTAGCCAGAGGATAGATCCAAAGTTGTAAACACGGCTGCACCATTTAAATCAGCTACCAGGTCATCGATTGTGGGCATCAAATGTTTTTCTCGTTTGACCGCTTGGTTGGCCTCACGCATATCAATACATATTCGGACTTCGCCCGACTTTTTCGGGACGACCACAATGGGACTGATCCATGGTGTTGGTCCATCAACCTTTTCGATGATATCTAACTCTTCAAGCCGTTTGAGCTCTTTCTCGACATCAGATCGAACGTGGAATGGGATTCGACGGTGGGGTTGTTGTTTGGGGGAAACATCAGGATCAATGTGCAGTTTAACAGTTTTACCAGTTAGCTTTCCAATGCCAGAGAAGAGGCATTCGAACTCTGGGGGATACTGATTAGTTGATGGTATGTGATGGGTAGTGCTGTTGATCGTAACTTTGAGCAAGTTGAGTTGGCAGGCGGTGGTGTAGCTTAGCAGATTTCCAGAGTTCCCGTGAACTACATGGAATTGGGCAGAAAGGTGCTTAAAATCAGTGGAAATGTTGGTTTTGATAACTCCTTTTAGTGGTAGTGGACGTAGTGATCCATAGGAATAAATTTTGTGGTTTGTTTGTTCAAGACTGATTCCTTTGTTGCGGGTAATTTTGTTAAAGGTGGCATCATCGAGGATATTGACAGAAGCGCCAGAGTCTATCATGACGGATACGCTGTGCCCTGCAATGTTTACGTGGCACTTTGGTGATGCGGGTGTTCCAGAGAGATTTGCGATTGTGAAAGCATAGTCTGGTTCGGAGTCAGAATCGGGTGGAGACTGGGGGCGGGTATGGGTGACATTCTTTACATGCTGTGATGATGGGGGTTTGGTGCGGCAAACCCGGGCAAAATGTCCGATTTTCCCACAAGATTTGCAGTCCTTGCCTCTTGCTGGGCAAACTCTGATATGCGGGTATGTCCCACCGCAGTTTCCACAGGTTTCTCTGGCACGAGATTGCTCAGCGCCTCTGAAATTACGTAATCGTTGGTTCTCAAAACGCGATCTTGGGGGGCCTGTGGCTTCCGTATTTGGCTGTTGTGTATTTCCGTGACGAACTGAATTTACGCTTGAGAATTCTTGTTGCTCGACTTGGCTGGCTTGTTTTTCACCAGTGTGAAATTGGCACCATATTCAACTACACGTTCACCACCACGTTCATAAACACATTCAAAAAATGGCAACGGCTAATTTCAATCACTCAAAACGACAAAACTATCAAAGCGCTATTTTCTCTCACAATAAACATCCTAATGCAGCAAAAACACGACAGAAATACGTAGAACGAATTTATCTTTAATTTGAGCAATCAAATTTATAGCTCCAAGCAGTATAAGGGCAACAATTTCATTTTTTTATTAAAACATAAAACTGGATTTCTTAAATTAATTGAAAAAGTCGGGAATACAAAACTAATCGTACCTTAGCCTCTATTCTGTCCGATTTGTTCAAACTTCCATGTATTGTACAACTTTATATGTACTTTCCTACGATACTTCATTCATATTATGCACTTCAGTTTAAAGTATAGAAAAACGCACACAAACTCGTGCAACTTTAGTCGCGGACATATAAATTAGATTACAACGTTATTCTTCTCATAACTCAGTCTCTATTCTGTCCGATTTTTTCAAACTTTCAGATATTGTACAATCTTATATGTACTTTCGCACGCTACTTCACACAAATTCTGCACTTGAGTTGAAAGTACAGAAAAACGCACTCAAACTCATGCAACCTTAGTCGCGGAAACATGCATAAATTGTATTAGAACGTTATCCGTGTTGCCGTGATAAACCTTCTCATAACTCAGCCTCTATTCTGTCCGATTTTTTCAAATTTTCATATATTGTACAATTTTATATGTACTTTCCTATGATACTTCACACAAATTATGAAAGTACAGAAAAACGCACTCAAACTCATGCAACTTTAGACGCGGAAATATAAATTTTATTACTATAATTAGATTATATATTGCTTTATCGGGGTTGCCGTGATAAACCTTCTCATAACTCAGCCTCAATTCTGTCCGATTTTTTCAAACTTCCACATATAGTATAATTTTATACGTACTTTCTTATGCTAGTTTATTCAAATTATGCACATGAGTTTAAAGTACAGAAAAACGCACTCAAACTCATGCAACTTTAGTCGCGGAAATATAAATTAGATTAGAACGTTATCCGTGTTGCCGTGATAAACATTCTGATAACTCAGCCTCTATTCTGTCAGATTTTTTCAAACTTCAACATATAGTACAATCTTATACATACTTTCCTATGCTACTTCATTCAAATTATGCACTTGAGTTTAAAGTACAGAAAAACGCACTCAAACTCATGCAACTTTAGTCGCGGAAATATAAATCAGATTAGAACGTTATCCGTGTTGCCGTGATAAACCTTCTCATAACTCAGCCTCTATTCTGTCCGATTTTTTCATACTTCCACAAATAGTACAATTTTATACGTACGTTCCTATGCTACTTCATTCAAATTATGCACTTGAGTTTAAAGTACAGAAAAACGCACTCAAACTCATGGAACTTTAGACGCGGAAATATAAATTTTATTACTATAATTAGATTAAGTGCGTTATCCGTGTTGACGTGATAAACCTTCACATAACTCAGCCTCTATTCTGTCCGATTTTTTCATACTTCCACATATAGTACAATTTTATACGTACGTTCCTATGCTACTTCACTCAAATTATGCACTTGAGTTGAAAGTACAGAAAAACGCACTCAAACTCTTGCAACTTTAGTCGCGGAAATATAAATTAGATTACAACGTTATTCTTCTCATAACTAAGTCTCTATTCTGTCCGATTTTTTCAAACTTTCAGATATTGTACAATCTTATATGTACTTTGGCTTTGGCATGCTACTTCACACAAATTCTGCACTTGAGTTGAAAGTACAGAAAAACGCACTCAAACTCATGCAACCTCAGTCGCGGAAACATGCATAAATTGTATTAGAGCGTTATCCGTGTTGCCGTGATAAACCTTCTCATAACTCAGCCTCTATTCTGTCCGATTTTTTCAAATTTTCATATATTGTACAATTTTATATGTACTTTCCTATGATACTTCACACAAATTATTCACTTGAGCTTAAAGTACAGAAAAACGCACTCAAACTCATGCAACTTTAGACGCGGAAATGTAAATTTTATTAGTATAATTAGATTATATATTGCGTTATCAGGGTTGCCGTGATAAACCTTCTCATAACTCAGCCTCAATTCTGTCCGATTTTTTCAAACTTCCACATATAGTACAATTTTATACGTACTTTCTTATGTTGCTTCATTAAAATTATGCACTCGAGTTTCAAGTACAGAAAAACGCACTCAAACTCATGCAACTTTAGTAGCGGAAATATAAATTAGATTAGAACGTTATCCGTCTTGCCGTGATAAACATTCTGATAACTCAGCCTCTATTCTGTCCGATTTTTTCAAACTTCCACATATAGTACAATTTTATACGTACTTTCCTATGCTACTTCATTCAAATTATGCACTCGAGTTTAAAGTACAGAAAAACGCACTCAAACTCATGCAACTTTAGACGCGGAAATATAAATTTTATTACTATAATTAGATTATATAGTGCGTTATCAGGGTTGCGTTTTAAAACTTCTCATAACTCAGCCCCTATTCTGTCCAATTTTTTCAAACTTCAAAATATTGTACAACTTTATATATACTTTCCTATGATACTTCATACAAATTATGCACTTGAGCTTAAAGTACAGAAAAACGCACTCAAACTCGTGCAACTTTAGTCGCGGAAATATAAATTAGATTAGAACGTTATCCGTGTTG